CACATATATATATATATATATAAATATATATATATATATATAATGTATATGTTGTAGTTCAAATTTATACTTGGTTCAAATTTCATTTTCCTTTGTACTCGATTATGTTAATGTCTGATAATGAGTTTGAAACAAAGGAAAATAAAATTTGAACCAAGGATAAAATTGAACCACAACATATACGTAGGAAGTCTGCGTTTTGATTTTTCTGAGCGTGATACAATGCTCAATACATAAAAGTAAGGCGTAATATATTTTGAGTTAGAAAAATGCAAAGACCACGCTTTCATCCTACACGCCTGTTTCGTGATTCTTTACTCATCAGGGGATTTTATTGATAAGAATATTCGTAACCATCTTTTAGATACTTTGCAAATTTGCATAAGAGGCGCGGCGATAGATTTAAGTGCTTTGTTCAGTTATTGCACATTAACGCTTTGTTTCTGTGGCGGCATGAGGACACAAGTTCATTACGTTTATTGAGTGATGACATCAAAATTTAAAGTATCGTTGTGTGCATCAAACATTGATTTTTGTTACCTTTGATGTGAATAAACATTATCTAAGAGAAGAGGTGTCTTGAAAACTCAGTAGTCCTAGAAGGAAAAAGCCTAAGGTTTGAGCTGATAGTTTATCCCGATGTTATAAAGCTGCTTAGTTGTATTTGTTCAGGCTGCTGCTATTTTTCCGTTTTTTTCTATGGTTATTCCTTTTTTTTTTTTTTTCCATGTACCCTTTTCTGATCTACCTGTTTCTTTTCTTGTAGAAACTCACGTATTCACTTACTCAGACAAATTGGTGCGGGCAATTCCATCATTTTTCAAGGTGATCTATTCAGTAACATTGGCAAGGTTTTAACACGCCGATAAATTTCTCCCTTCGCTTCTGTTCACATTTATTTTTCTGTTGTCTGGCCATTCAGGAATTTAGTTGTTCTCAGATATTTCCTAGCATTAATAAACATTACAGTAAGATCCAGTTGATTTGCAGAAGTTATAGCGTTAAGAAACGAGAAACAGGTTAAACCAATATTTGCGCTCGATTGAAAGTCACACTTCTTTCTTTCTCTTTTCTTACCAGATGCTGACTTTTAATGCAAGACTGCAATTGTTTAACCAGGATGGTATCATGTTTCTCTGTCTTGATGTAGTTGCTATGGCGCACTAGTTTGAGACCAGCAAGGGATAACAACCAAGTGAAAGATTAGGAGAAATGCGAGAGACAACATTTTCTTTCAGAAGCTCCTGTTACATCTCTAATAAAAAATAACTTCATCACTAACATGATAAAAAACGACAATTAGTTAAACTGCTAGCTCAGAACGGCAGGAGCATTATAAGTAGAACGTAAAATATTTAGTTTGGTATATAAAGACACGATAATCCTCTGAATAAGTTTAGATAATTAATTTAAACTGCCAAATGAAAATAAATTCACTTCTTAATCTTACTTTTACGGCTTCTGGCTTCTTATGCCTTTCCATTCC